CAATGCATTTTCCACAAACCATTCTTCTAAATTGACTACATCAAAACATATCTTAAATAAGGCTGTAGATGGGGAATAGCTTGCTTCTCCGATTCTGTTTCGTCATCATTATTGTTGCTGCCTGTCACCTTCTTCCATGTCACCGCACTCCCTTGTTTCCCCGTCTTATAAGTTCATGAGATCAAAAGAAAAGAGAAGAGCTCTAATGCGGTTCTGTTGTGGGGAAAAAAAGTGTAATGAAAAGGCTATCTATTGATTTTTTTCCGCAGATGTCAAATGTTGGTGGTTCGAGGCAACCCACATTCATTGAATAAACAAGAGCGTACAAGTCATCTGCATAAGGTATCTAATTTATTGTTGCGAATCCTTCAACGTGACTCATCAAACTCATCACGGTCCGCTAGTCTTTGCAAACGATTCATTTAAAGGTCATCCATGACGCGGCTCGAGGTCTTTCAGCAACTCGCGTGCGCCAAGGTGCGCGCGCACGGTTGGAACCGTGACGCGTGCCCGAAGGCGCGTGTGCGTGGCTTTCTCGCGTGCGCACCTTAGCGCGATGGTAGAAGAACGTCACAAGTGCAGCTGACACCGCCGGGCTCGTTGTGTTAGACGAGGCGGTACGAAATTCACACTTTCACTTCTTGGACGCTCGGGGACGCGCATGTGGACAGGAGAGTGACCCGGGCACCGTCACGCTTTTGTGCTGTGCTTTTTGGACAACCTCTCGGAGGAAATTTTCTCACCCGTGGAGGACGGTTTGCCCGTTTGGACATCATGACAGACGCAAAGTGCCTTCTGAAAACACCATGGTAATGCAGATTGTTTTTCTTGGGCTCAAAAAAAAAAAAAAACCCTGCAAAAATGCAGACTGTCAACTGGCACGATTAACACAGTGCAGCATTTTGTCGCATTTATAGCTACAGTATTGTAATTAATGAGGCGACGGCACTTAATTGGCGTGTAAACTGGGGCGAAGTCTTTGAAAGCCCTTCCTTTGCGTGTTGTGTCTCGTATTATGATGCAAAGTGTTCAAAGCCAGCATCACCGGGGCACCTGACAAGATGTTCAATAACTGGTTTGCTGGCTGAAATCTTCCTTCTCTATTCTTTCGATTCCATATTAACCTCATTTTTCCATCTCTGTGTATGGAAAAAAATGCCTTATGCATGCATAGTGCACTGATTGTTTTGCCCATTTGAAAGGTATCTCTTTCAAAGGGACGAAACGAGTAGGCTGGCTGGTTCGGTTACAGAAATAAAATATCAGCCGTGTCACTAAGTTGTCTTCCTGTGATGAGAGAGAGAAAAAAAAACTGAGCACAAGGACTGACCTTGAAATAATTGTGTCTTCTCCACATTGACTAAATAAACTGACTTAACAGATACATTTAAAACTGACTCATTATAAACGATTGTAAGTGACATTTAATTAGTGAAAGGATCACTAGGACTATTTTCTTTGTTTACATCGCATTTGTCCACCTGTTACCACGCAAAGTTGGAAGGACGCAATTGAAACTGCCCCATTGGAAAAATCTGAAATTGACACACGCTCTCTCTTGGCTTCTTGAAAGACAAACATGGGAAATTAGGACAGCAGACAGAAGGAATTATTCGTTTCCAAAAACAGCTGAGAAAGAGAGAAAATAATACCAGCTATTCCTACAAGAATCTGCTCTGCGTAAAATATCAATGGCAGACAAGTCTTACTGTCTTTATGTCACATTCCTAGCAGCAGTCTCTGCAAAAGTCTGCACGCTTCTTGACAGGTGTTTTGTTGTGTGCCTCAGAGAAGGCACTTAATAGCCCATCAGATCCACTTATCTCCTGTACATCGTCTTGTCCCTGCACTTCCAGCTCAGTCGTTTTTTTTTCCCCCGACACCATAATTTGCCCTGGGGAATGTTCCCTGAGATCGAATAGATGGTTGGTGGTCCTCAGGCTTTTTAAGGGAAAAAGCTTACAATTAGCTTAGATATATGTGAGGTACAGAAAGACAACCGCACTCTTGTCCATTAGCACCCGTGCCCTATTTCTCTGTGAAATTGCTCCATGTGAGTGCAATTGCAAAGAAGCTTTGGTTGTTATGTTGTTTTAAAGCTGACATTCAACAGATAAAGCATTCCAAATGGATTTTTTTTTTTTTTACCCTACAAGAGCTACCCAGACATTCACATGCAGACCCACCATAGTTTCACGCCACCTCACCCTCCCCTGCCTCTTAAAGACACATGATAGCAGCGATTTTTTTTTTGTTTGGACTGTGTCTTAAAGAGTGTGTTTTAATCAGGTGAAGTTTGTTTTAATGGGTTTGAAGCATGCGGGATGGGTAAAAGGATTTAAAAAAAATAGGGGTTCAATGTAATTGGCAAATTACAAATGCAAAGTACTTTGGGTGGCTTGGTGATGAAGTGTTGCCTTCACAAGTGAAAACACAATGGAATGCTGTTTGGTTTTCAGTTCCTTGCACTCGCTTTTTAGATTTGGTGCTCATCATGGGCCAGTTACCTGTTACAAGGTCTAAAAAAACAAAACAAAACGCAAATACTTCCCATTCGTGGTTTGAGCTGTTTTCTTCTTCTTCTTATTTTTGAGTCATGAGCGCTGATTACATTGAAATCAGGATACATCATCTCATATGTTTTCTGGCACTTGGTTCATTAAAAATAACGTATCAACAATCATATCTTGTCCAATTTCTCAACGGAAGCGGCCCACATATGCCATTCCCGGTAACCTGCGTTCTGACAGTTAGTACTCTTAAAGTACTGTATATGACTCCAACTTGCATTTCTTGGCTTGAGAAGTGTGAGTTAGAACACAAGTGGCAGGCAGTTTACTGCTCAAGTCAACATTTTGACAAGAATTTGCTCTGACATTTTTTTTTTGAGCTACTAGTGTGGGCAGAAAGATTAGCACTTCAACACCTGTCAGTGGAACTCTCATTCACATCTGTTATCCGTGGCATTCGACATTCACCCTTTGGGAAGTCATATCCGGATAAATAACATGTCAGCCATCCATATTCTTTCTAAACGAAACGAAAAAAAAACACAGCAGCAGTGTGTCAGTCAAAAACTCGGAGTCAACGTCAAACAAAACAAACCGTGACATCTTGTAATCGCCATACTCCAATCTATGCCACTATCCGCATGCTCTACAATCTGCAGACCGAACCCGTGAGATTGATTTCGAGAGGATGTGCACTGCGGTGTATTGGCAAGCCCCCATCACTGTGCCCATCTTTAAAACCCGTCCTCCATGAATTGGCCGACTGAAAGATGAAATGCCCAAAACACTTTTGTGGCGATGAGTCGACTTCAAGCACTAAATATTCATTAGGAGTAGTGAAGTCGACCTATTGACTGGTTGACTAATCAATTCAAACCTTATCCACTCACAACGCACACACAAGCACAAAACCCTGCTGTCTCTACCTTTTCATTCTGAATAACTATTTTTTTCTATAATTTCTGTCACAGAAATGGAAAACTGAAAGTCACAGCAATTCTCGCTCGCGTTTCTTTTTTTTTTTTTTTTTTCTTATTGGCCTCGCTAATGGACCGAGGAGGGAAATTGTGCCTAACCACAGACACTGCAGAAAACTTTGACATTACTTTGTCTAGCCTCACTGACAGCTTGAAGTGATTGTGACGAACATTTCCTTTTTCCATTTTTATGCCGCACCTGCAGCCATTATGCAACCAAAAGAAGTGTGGCTTTGTTCTACTGTATTCTGCAAGGAAATAAGGCCATTTGCTTGTTATTGGCAACCACCAGAAGTTTGCTTCAGAAATATGGGTTTAGATTCATTTCACTTTCATTTCTTTGACATACAGCGAACACAGTTACACTTGATTAAGTTTTAATGTTGTACTTTGTCACAACGTCATGGTGCGGAGCATGCACCCGTTTACTACACGGCTTTGTTTGAGTTTGAGAACACTGCAGATTCAATATCTTCATTGTGCATGTTTTTGGGATGAGGGAGGAAGCCAGAGCAATCAGAGAAAAGCCACCAAAAAAAAAGGGGGAAAACATGCAAACTCCACACAGGAGCCGAGATTCAAACCCCAAACCTCGAGAGCTGGCAAAAGTACTCACACGCTGGACTGAAATAGAAATACATTGGAAAAAAAAAGTTGAATTACTGATTCATCTTCTATGAACAATTACAAGTAAAATGTACAGACTCTGAAACTACACAAGTAAAAAAATACAATTGAATTTTTAACGCAATTATGTACAATACTTGGATAATTTGGCACAGCGAAAGAAGACCTTTGCTTGCACACATGATAACTGTCCTCTTTTACTAAGTCGCATGGTGTTCAGGTAATAATGCTGGACACAGCTTTGCCACAAGCTACATTTTGGCAGGTTATTTGAGACTGAACTAACGGATCCTGCATGAGGAAAACAAAGCAATGTCACCAAAATGCTCAATTGCAAGATTACCTACAATGACAACAGCTGAAAGAAGAATCCAGTGTGGTTTTTTTTTTCCAGGCTGGGAAAGGACAATGCATTTTCCACAAACCATTCTTCTAAATTGACTACATCAAAACATATCTTAAATAAGGCTGTAGATGGGGAATAGCTTGCTTCTCCGATTCTGTTTCGTCATCATTATTGTTGCTGCCTGTCACCTTCTTCCATGTCACCGCACTCCCTTGTTTCCCCGTCTTATAAGTTCATGAGATCAAAAGAAAAGAGAAGAGCTCTAATGCGGTTCTGTTGTGGGGAAAAAAAGTGTAATGAAAAGGCTATCTATTGATTTTTTTCCGCAGATGTCAAATGTTGGTGGTTCGAGGCAACCCACATTCATTGAATAAACAAGAGCGTACAAGTCATCTGCATAAGGTATCTAATTTATTGTTGCGAATCCTTCAACGTGACTCATCAAACTCATCACGGTCCGCTAGTCTTTGCAAACGATTCATTTAAAGGTCATCCATGACGCGGCTCGAGGTCTTTCAGCAACTCGCGTGCGCCAAGGTGCGCGCGCACGGTTGGAACCGTGACGCGTGCCCGAAGGCGCGTGTGCGTGGCTTTCTCGCGTGCGCACCTTAGCGCGATGGTAGAAGAACGTCACAAGTGCAGCTGACACCGCCGGGCTCGTTGTGTTAGACGAGGCGGTACGAAATTCACACTTTCACTTCTTGGACGCTCGGGGACGCGCATGTGGACAGGAGAGTGACCCGGGCACCGTCACGCTTTTGTGCTGTGCTTTTTGGACAACCTCTCGGAGGAAATTTTCTCACCCGTGGAGGACGGTTTGCCCGTTTGGACATCATGACAGACGCAAAGTGCCTTCTGAAAACACCATGGTAATGCAGATTGTTTTTCTTGGGCTCAAAAAAAAAAAAAAACCCTGCAAAAATGCAGACTGTCAACTGGCACGATTAACACAGTGCAGCATTTTGTCGCATTTATAGCTACAGTATTGTAATTAATGAGGCGACGGCACTTAATTGGCGTGTAAACTGGGGCGAAGTCTTTGAAAGCCCTTCCTTTGCGTGTTGTGTCTCGTATTATGATGCAAAGTGTTCAAAGCCAGCATCACCGGGGCACCTGACAAGATGTTCAATAACTGGTTTGCTGGCTGAAATCTTCCTTCTCTATTCTTTCGATTCCATATTAACCTCATTTTTCCATCTCTGTGTATGGAAAAAAATGCCTTATGCATGCATAGTGCACTGATTGTTTTGCCCATTTGAAAGGTATCTCTTTCAAAGGGACGAAACGAGTAGGCTGGCTGGTTCGGTTACAGAAATAAAATATCAGCCGTGTCACTAAGTTGTCTTCCTGTGATGAGAGAGAGAAAAAAAAACTGAGCACAAGGACTGACCTTGAAATAATTGTGTCTTCTCCACATTGACTAAATAAACTGACTTAACAGATACATTTAAAACTGACTCATTATAAACGATTGTAAGTGACATTTAATTAGTGAAAGGATCACTAGGACTATTTTCTTTGTTTACATCGCATTTGTCCACCTGTTACCACGCAAAGTTGGAAGGACGCAATTGAAACTGCCCCATTGGAAAAATCTGAAATTGACACACGCTCTCTCTTGGCTTCTTGAAAGACAAACATGGGAAATTAGGACAGCAGACAGAAGGAATTATTCGTTTCCAAAAACAGCTGAGAAAGAGAGAAAATAATACCAGCTATTCCTACAAGAATCTGCTCTGCGTAAAATATCAATGGCAGACAAGTCTTACTGTCTTTATGTCACATTCCTAGCAGCAGTCTCTGCAAAAGTCTGCACGCTTCTTGACAGGTGTTTTGTTGTGTGCCTCAGAGAAGGCACTTAATAGCCCATCAGATCCACTTATCTCCTGTACATCGTCTTGTCCCTGCACTTCCAGCTCAGTCGTTTTTTTTTCCCCCGACACCATAATTTGCCCTGGGGAATGTTCCCTGAGATCGAATAGATGGTTGGTGGTCCTCAGGCTTTTTAAGGGAAAAAGCTTACAATTAGCTTAGATATATGTGAGGTACAGAAAGACAACCGCACTCTTGTCCATTAGCACCCGTGCCCTATTTCTCTGTGAAATTGCTCCATGTGAGTGCAATTGCAAAGAAGCTTTGGTTGTTATGTTGTTTTAAAGCTGACATTCAACAGATAAAGCATTCCAAATGGATTTTTTTTTTTTTTACCCTACAAGAGCTACCCAGACATTCACATGCAGACCCACCATAGTTTCACGCCACCTCACCCTCCCCTGCCTCTTAAAGACACATGATAGCAGCGATTTTTTTTTTGTTTGGACTGTGTCTTAAAGAGTGTGTTTTAATCAGGTGAAGTTTGTTTTAATGGGTTTGAAGCATGCGGGATGGGTAAAAGGATTTAAAAAAAATAGGGGTTCAATGTAATTGGCAAATTACAAATGCAAAGTACTTTGGGTGGCTTGGTGATGAAGTGTTGCCTTCACAAGTGAAAACACAATGGAATGCTGTTTGGTTTTCAGTTCCTTGCACTCGCTTTTTAGATTTGGTGCTCATCATGGGCCAGTTACCTGTTACAAGGTCTAAAAAAACAAAACAAAACGCAAATACTTCCCATTCGTGGTTTGAGCTGTTTTCTTCTTCTTCTTATTTTTGAGTCATGAGCGCTGATTACATTGAAATCAGGATACATCATCTCATATGTTTTCTGGCACTTGGTTCATTAAAAATAACGTATCAACAATCATATCTTGTCCAATTTCTCAACGGAAGCGGCCCACATATGCCATTCCCGGTAACCTGCGTTCTGACAGTTAGTACTCTTAAAGTACTGTATATGACTCCAACTTGCATTTCTTGGCTTGAGAAGTGTGAGTTAGAACACAAGTGGCAGGCAGTTTACTGCTCAAGTCAACATTTTGACAAGAATTTGCTCTGACATTTTTTTTTTGGGGGTCTTACAGTAATTTCCAATCATCTGCCATGTTTGAAGACTCTGAATCTGTGGAGGTAGACGGAAGCAGCACAGAGAGCACAGTAGCCTCTACCATCAGCGCTTGTAAAAAGGTAAGAAAGAAAAAACAGTGTCATGGAGGAAAATAATCAATCCTCATCTCAGTGGGGCCCTTTCTTTGTCTGCTGCATGGATTCTTCTTGAAATGTGTATTCCAGTTTTGTGCCAGTTGGTCTGTTTGGGGGCTCCTTTCCATTGCATCCTTTGGGGGTAGCGCAATAAGCGCAACCGCCGGGCCTTCAGGTCAACTCAATAGATGTATCGTCTCCCTCTTCCAGGGAGAGAGGAGCACAGCCAGAATAGATCATTGGACTGGGGTGAAAGCTAAATTGAGTTTCCATTTCCAGTGTGTTTGGGTTCATTTGACCTTTCTCTGAACATTTTTGTGCAGTTACCATCACACTCACTGTGCATACTTGCCTGTAACTCACGAGCTGAACTGCCTTCCGCTTGAATGTCCTGATATCCGTCTCATTATTGGGCTGCAAGTTCTGATGAGCTGTGGCCAACACACATATATGTCTATAAGACAAGTGCAAATACAAACATTTCTAATTTGGAATGTGGAAAAAAAACACGTGTTACACATTTGAATGAAAACTATTCAAAATGGTCATTGTTGTCCACCTATGTGTTGTACATCAAAGGTGATCGATTTTGTGACAGGTTCTGTGCGGTAACGGTGTGCTGGACTCATCAGACTATTGGCTGAGGAATAACAAAGCTCTGTGCAGACTGGGCCTGCTGGACGACAACACAGAGACCAGCTGCACCATGGTGAGAAGCAGACTGTAAATGATGAAACATGTGCACCCTTTTTGGCATCTGATGAGCTGTGGCCAACACACATATATGTCTATAAGACAAGTGCAAATACAAACATTTCTAATTTGGAATGTGGAAAAAAAACGTGTGTTACACATTTGAATGAAAACTATTCAAAATGGTCATTGTTGTCCACCTATGTGTTGTACATCAAAGGTGATTGATTTTGTTACAGGTTCTGTGCGGTAACGGTGTGCTGGACTCATCAGACTATTGGCTGAGGAATAACAAAGCTCTGTGTAGACTGGGCCTGCTGGACGACAACACAGAGACCAGGTGCACCATGGTGAGAAGCAGACTGTAAATGATGAAACGTGTGCACCCTTTTTGGCAACATAGATGAACCTGTTCACTTCTCATGTGGAATCCTCAAGTTCTGGAAGCCACAAACGACAGTGGGCCAACAGTTCTAACTCTCACTGTCAAAACGATGATGTTTCAGGACAACTCCATTTGCCGTGCACACACTCGATATAGTGTGATATACGTTCGGATAGTTTTACGTAAACGTGAATCATCCAGAAAAAGTGTTTACCAGTCAAGGCGATCGCTCACGATGCTGACGTTGGCCTTGGACATTTTCGAAGGATTGTTCAAAGCCGACAAAAGGAAACGTCCTCGGATCAATTCTTTACAAAACACCAGGCGAAAAACACTTCTGAGAGAGAACATGGACTAAAGGGGGCAAAAAAACGATGAGGACGCAGTCAAGTTAAATGACCATCATTTTTATTCTTTACTCTTTTCTTAGTTTTTTTACATTATGCACAACTCTCATTTATTGTGCAATAATCTAATTGTAACATGTATATGTTATATATTTTGATGCATTTTTATGCTTAACAAAACATTTATGTCAGAATTTTGGGGGGGCTTGGAACGGATTAGGGCATTTACATGGAAAACGCGTCTCTACTTACAAAAATTTTCTAGTGAAGAAATTTCTTCTGGAACCAATTAATTTCGTAAGCAGAGGTACCACTGTACAATATATGGACCTTGTTTGCCTGGGGCCAGGCCTGGAGGTGGTGCTCGCTGGCGTGCCCCCGGTGGCTCAGCCTGCACCTACGGGGCCCAGCTGGGCACAGCTCGAAAAGGCAACGTGGGTCTGCCTCATGAGTTCACCACCTATGGCAGTTGCCAAAGGGGTCAGGTGCGTTGTGAACTGGGCAGCGGTCAAAGGCGGGGACCTTGGCTACAGAAGCTAGCTCTTGGGCAATTTTACCTCTGCGCCAGTGCGCAAGGCAAAGAAATTCCGATACGACATCGTCGGAGTCGCTTCCAATCATATCTTGGGCTCTGCTACCAGTCCTCTGGAGAGGGGTTTGACTCTCTTTCACTCTAGAGGTCCCCATGGTGAGTTGAGAGGGGGTGTTGTCATACTAATGTGTCAAGTCGCGGGCCCCTCGAATTGAGAGGAGCCAGATGAGGTGGCTCGGGCATCTTATCAGAATGTCTCCTGGATGTCAACTTGATGAAAATCAGAATTATCCATATTTTTTTTGAGAAGGGTGAATGTTGATATGCCGTTTTTGAAATCGAGAGGCAATCAATACAATCTAAAGCAATGCAACTGTGTTTCAAACTTTGATATCAACAAAATGTCTGGCTTGATATGGCTTCATAAGATGCATTTACACAAAAGATGTCTCATCGCAGTGTCATATTTAAGACCTTTTCACAGAGGACTCTATTTAATTCCCTTTGAAGGAGATAAAAGTTTAAATAGCTACTCAGAGTGAAAGGCCGCTGTCTCTCATAACATAATGTGAAATCTCGTCCTAATAAATAAGACCCACACAACAGCGGCAGCCTGATAATAAGACTGCATTTCATCTCCTCGAGGTGGAATGAAGTTGCTCACCTTTGGCCCTGAAATCTCATTCTTTCCCCCTTTTCTAAAAAAAAAAAAAATTTTCCGCAGATGTCAAATGTTGGTGGTTCGAGGCAACCCACATTCATTGAATAAACAAGAGCGTACAAGTCATCTGCATAAGGTATCTAATTTATTGTTGCGAATCCTTCAACGTGACTCATCAAACTCATCACGGTCCGCTAGTCTTTGCAAACGATTCATTTAAAGGTCATCCATGACGCGGCTCGAGGTCTTTCAGCAACTCGCGTGCGCCAAGGTGCGCGCGCACGGTTGGAACCGTGACGCGTGCCCGAAGGCGCGTGTGCGTGGCTTTCTCGCGTGCGCACCTTAGCGCGATGGTAGAAGAACGTCACAAGTGCAGCTGACACCGCCGGGCTCGTTGTGTTAGACGAGGCGGTACGAAATTCACACTTTCACTTCTTGGACGCTCGGGGACGCGCATGTGGACAGGAGAGTGACCCGGGCACCGTCACGCTTTTGTGCTGTGCTTTTTGGACAACCTCTCGGAGGAAATTTTCTCACCCGTGGAGGACGGTTTGCCCGTTTGGACATCATGACAGACGCAAAGTGCCTTCTGAAAACACCATGGTAATGCAGATTGTTTTTCTTGGGCTCAAAAAAAAAAAAAAAGGGGACGCGCATGTGGACAGGAGAGTGACCCGGGCACCGTCACGCTTTTGTGCTGTGCTTTTTGGACAACCTCTCGGAGGAAATTTTCTCACCCGTGGAGGACGGTTTGCCCGTTTGGACATCATGACAGACGCAAAGTGCCTTCTGAAAACACCATGGTAATGCAGATTGTTTTTCTTGGGCTCAAAAAAAAAAAAAAACCCTGCAAAAATGCAGACTGTCAACTGGCACGATTAACACAGTGCAGCATTTTGTCGCATTTATAGCTACAGTATTGTAATTAATGAGGCGACGGCACTTAATTGGCGTGTAAACTGGGGCGAAGTCTTTGAAAGCCCTTCCTTTGCGTGTTGTGTCTCGTATTATGATGCAAAGTGTTCAAAGCCAGCATCACCGGGGCACCTGACAAGATGTTCAATAACTGGTTTGCTGGCTGAAATCTTCCTTCTCTATTCTTTCGATTCCATATTAACCTCATTTTTCCATCTCTGTGTATGGAAAAAAATGCCTTATGCATGCATAGTGCACTGATTGTTTTGCCCATTTGAAAAAGGTATCTCTCAAAGGGACGAAACGAGTAGGCTGGCTGGTTCGGTTACAGAAATAAAATATCAGCCGTGTGTCTAAGTTGTCTTCCTGTGATGAGAGAGAGAAAAAAAAACTGAGCACAAGGACTGACCTTGAAATAATTGTGTCTTCTCCACATTGACTAAATAAACTGACTTAACAGATACATTTAAAACTGACTCATTATAAACGATTGTAAGTGACATTTAATTAGTGAAAGGATCACTAGGACTATTTTCTTTGTTTACATCGCATTTGTCCACCTGTTACCACGCAAAGTTGGAAGGACGCAATTGAAACTGCCCCATTGGAAAAATCTGAAATTGACACACGCTCTCTCTTGGCTTCTTGAAAGACAAACATGGGAAATTAGGACAGCAGACAGAAGGAATTATTCGTTTCCAAAAACAGCTGAGAAAGAGAGAAAATAATACCAGCTATTCCTACAAGAATCTGCTCTGCGTAAAATATCAATGGCAGACAAGTCTTACTGTCTTTATGTCACATTCCTAGCAGCAGTCTCTGCAAAAGTCTGCACGCTTCTTGACAGGTGTTTTGTTGTGTGCCTCAGAGAAGGCACTTAATAGCCCATCAGATCCACTTATCTCCTGTACATCGTCTTGTCCCTGCACTTCCAGCTCAGTCGTTTTTTTTTCCCCCGACACCATAATTTGCCCTGGGGAATGTTCCCTGAGATCGAATAGATGGTTGGTGGTCCTCAGGCTTTTTAAGGGAAAAAGCTTACAATTAGCTTAGATATATGTGAGGTACAGAAAGACAACCGCACTCTTGTCCATTAGCACCCGTGCCCTATTTCTCTGTGAAATTGCTCCATGTGAGTGCAATTGCAAAGAAGCTTTGGTTGTTATGTTGTTTTAAAGCTGACATTCAACAGATAAAGCATTCCAAATGGATTTTTTTTTTTTTTACCCTACAAGAGCTACCCAGACATTCACATGCAGACCCACCATAGTTTCACGCCACCTCACCCTCCCCTGCCTCTTAAAGACACATGATAGCAGCGATTTTTTTTTTGTTTGGACTGTGTCTTAAAGAGTGTGTTTTAATCAGGTGAAGTTTGTTTTAATGGGTTTGAAGCATGCGGGATGGGTAAAAGGATTTAAAAAAAATAGGGGTTCAATGTAATTGGCAAATTACAAATGCAAAGTACTTTGGGTGGCTTGGTGATGAAGTGTTGCCTTCACAAGTGAAAACACAATGGAATGCTGTTTGGTTTTCAGTTCCTTGCACTCGCTTTTTAGATTTGGTGCTCATCATGGGCCAGTTACCTGTTACAAGGTCTAAAAAAACAAAACAAAACGCAAATACTTCCCATTCGTGGTTTGAGCTGTTTTCTTCTTCTTCTTATTTTTGAGTCATGAGCGCTGATTACATTGAAATCAGGATACATCATCTCATATGTTTTCTGGCACTTGGTTCATTAAAAATAACGTATCAACAATCATATCTTGTCCAATTTCTCAACGGAAGCGGCCCACATATGCCATTCCCGGTAACCTGCGTTCTGACAGTTAGTACTCTTAAAGTACTGTATATGACTCCAACTTGCATTTCTTGGCTTGAGAAGTGTGAGTTAGAACACAAGTGGCAGGCAGTTTACTGCTCAAGTCAACATTTTGACAAGAATTTGCTCTGACATTTTTTTTTTGGGGGTCTTACAGTAATTTCCAATCATCTGCCATGTTTGAAGACTCTGAATCTGTGGAGGTAGACGGAAGCAGCACAGAGAGCACAGTAGCCTCTACCATCAGCGCTTGTAAAAAGGTAAGAAAGAAAAAACAGTGTCATGGAGGAAAATAATCAATCCTCATCTCAGTGGGGCCCTTTCTTTGTCTGCTGCATGGATTCTTCTTGAAAT